GAAACAAGAACTTTATTTCGATAAATAAATGATATTCTTTACATTGACTTATGCATCTTGCCGATTTTTACTCATAAGAATAAAAATGTTGAAATCATAATTTTATATTTATATATATATATATATATATATATGCATATAAGGTGTGCCAGAATTCAACGTCAAGCCGTAACAGAGTGATAGAATTGTTTGTAACTGTCATGAGGAAAGTTAGAAAAAACATTTTATCACGTTGTTTGGAAATATGTAGTTCAACAGAAAAGCTTAATTTTTGAAAATTCCGGTAAATTTTGTCATTATTTTTTACATTATTACATTTACATTATATGATCCTAAACATGTTATTTACGGTTACAGATCCAAAGCTTAAATGAACAATATAATAAAAATTAATCGAAAAATTATCATAATTTCTCTAAAGATTTAGGCTGCACTTTAAGCTCTCATAATTAACTTCCCGTAAGTTATAGTAATCGCAAAAAATCAAAAATGAACATTTTTATATATCATCACGTTTCAAACGTTTCTGAACATGTTGGCATACCTTATAAAAAATAGATGTATGTGTGTGTGTATGTGTATGCGGAAACCAATTTTCGTCGACGATTTCGGGAACACGAATTAAATTATTTTTGCAACAACTTGAGACCATTTTTTTGGTCTAATTTTTTGCCGGACAGTTAATGTCAATACTATCATTTCCGTTAGACTTGACGTCAATTTTTTTTTTTAATTTGAAAATTTGCTTTATTTGACTTAAATACATACATTGATTTTTACATAAAGATACAAATGTTGTTGACTTGACGTCAATTTTTGGCTCACCATGTATATTTCTATTCCTTCAATAAAATCTATTCCATCTTCCATCCTTTACAGTATGCAAAAATTCCTTAATTCCATTATCTCCATCCACCATCTATCTATCTATTTATCTCGAAGGAGGAATGTCATTATTCCCTCTCTATTCGAATTCGAATTCGAATAAAGGTTAGCGTCTCCTGTCCATAACACATTAATTTTTTCAGGTATGCATTTTTTTCTGATTGTATAATTCTGACAAGTTGACAAGTTGCTCCGTGGCATTTGTATATGTCATATTTAGTCGGTAGGGAATCCGACAAAAGGAGAAAAAAATCCAAAATGAAATAAAACCGAGAGAGCCACAAGTATGTAGATACATAGAGACGATACATATGTATATACATATATATATATATATATATATATATATATATATATATATATATAATTGTATCTAGGTATGGTCAGGAGGAGGACATGGATACCTGAGTCATATAGATATGTGATAGGCTAGGAGCAAGCTGGTTTTTGTGACAAATTTTGTGACTTGGTCTGACAATATTTTATCCTTCTAGATAGGAGTACGTTATTAATGGTTGTTTTCCTGGTGGAAATCAATTTTCTGTATCAAGATAGGCATCTAATAAATATATACTAATTCATCCAATAAAGCATTTAAATAGACATTGTTGCATTAGCCTTGTCCTCTAATGATTATTGTGCATGATGGACACCGAATCATGTAGAGAATTATGTAATAAAAATAATATTATAACCAGAATTTTATGTCAAATTTCAAATCATTTCACGATATTTTATCCTTCTCGACAAAAGATACGTTCTTAATGGTTGTTAAAGTAAAACTTCTTTAGGCGCGACTAGGGTGTAAATCCGTACAAATGCAATGGAAGTGCGTTACGGCAAATAAGATAAAATAAGATAAGAGTCGAATATGTGAATAGAGATTTGTCGCTGTATGAGTACCGGCATCAACATTGTATGCATACCGATATCAACAAGGAAATCGACATAAATAGATAAATAAACATTTTAAAATTACATAGTGCTACAAATCTTGATTTAATAAAAAATGCCTAAATCAGAAGAATATTTTACCCTGTTTCTTAATATTTTACCCTGTTCCTTACAAATTATTTCTATATTATTCGTAGTTTCTATAAATCTTAGAAGTCATTAAAATGGAAAATATTTTTTATGCAAGACAGATATTACAGCTGTCAAATAATAAGATTATATCACCAGCAAAAAAGTTAAAAAAATACAAGCAGTCAATGAATGTTTGTTAATTTTAATTACATAAAGTTCTTCAAATATTATTAATATATAACGATGAGTTAAATTGTGAAAACAATATTTGTTTAGGCGTTGTTTAACATAATCCACTGTGTGAACGAATATTATTTAATTTATTAATCAGCAATTACTTCATTTCTTTAATGAAGGTCCATTTCTAAATTACAATGACAAACCGATCATGTCATATTTAAAGAATGACTTCAATTACATTATTGTTTTATATAATATTATACGTATTATTAATGCTATTATAAATATATAATTTATAATTTATCATTATATAAATGTGCATAATGGTTGATACTAATAAATGTATTCAGGAGGAGGGCGTAATCTGAACCAGATTTTTGAGTCAAATTTCGACAGTTCTTTATGCCTAAGTATAACTTTTTTCAGAGTTATTATTAAAATCTGTATCAAGATGTCTAAACATTCTAATTCTTCCAACAAAGCATTTGAATCGATATTAAATATTAAATTATTATCTGAGTAAAGTTTCAATTAGTTTCGTGACATATTTTATCCTCAAAACATAAGAATGTTTTAAAAATTTTACTCAGGACCTCAGGAACTTCCACGATATTGATACAAATATTTTGTAATTGATTTTGTAATTTGAGTTTCTATTGGATCCTTATATTAAATATATATATATATATATATATATATATATATATATATGTAGTTTGTAGTTAATATAATATCAATATGTGTAAATATATAAAACTGGTTTACGAAAAAATGCAGAAACATAAATACCGAAAGAGAACGTGTTTGTGCTTTTGTTCCTAAATCAATATTGATCATGTTGTTCCAACAATGTCACACACATATTGCAAACAATTCTGAAAACATGTTATTTTCTACTATTTTCTTGGAAAAAAATAAGAAAAACCAATAAAAAATTATCTAGAGAAGGCATTATTCAAAATTGCACCATTATAAAAGACTCATCAATTCAACTGATGTGAATAATAACAACATATCTTCTAATTCATATATATTTTTTTTTATAAAAATTATATCATATCTATCTTTTCCTCCACACGTTGTTCCAAGAAATGACATAAATCTTCTTACCAAATTTCAAGTTCTTATTATATCCTAAGGACAACAAAAGAAAAGGAGTTGTTGTCCTTAAAATTATATATTTAACATCTTGTGACGGTTTTAATACTATAAATAAGTAATAAATAAAAATCAAACACGGGAACTTGTGAGGAGGCTAACGTTTTATTATCTACATTACATCTATACTTATGTATTTAGATAGTAGTGGAGCTGGTAACCCACAATGATAATAAATAATTTACCAGTTAACATTTTTGAAGTGAATTTTGGAGAACATAAAGTTGCACATTATAGGATGTTATGTTTTAAATGACCTCAGAATGTTATAATTTAAATATTTTAATATAAATTTTTATTATACAAACATATAAACGCTCAATTATTATAGCAAACGATTCATCAAATTGTTAGGATAATAATGTAGTATTAAAAATATTTATATATTAGGTTTAAAATTATTTTTATTATTATTATTAGTTTATTAATTATCAAAATAACAAACTTCCGACTACTAGCGCCTCTATCGGCGGCAACTTAAAATATTTACACGATCGCCAAATATCGTTGAGATGAACTATTTGTGAGTAATTTAATTAAAAAGTTGAGAGAACTAAGTTTTTTAAAATTGTTCACTCAATCAAGACTTTATCTTAGATTAAAATAAAATGCATAAATAATAGTAATATATAACTGTTAGCTTTAATAATTTATTTTAATAATAAAAAAACAGTAGCCATTTAGCATAATTCACGAAAAAACTCTGAATGTAAAAATAATGCAACAATATTTAATTTAATAGATCTCAAAGCAAATATTCAAGGAAAGTAAGGTAAACGTACCATATTACGGGATGTTAAGGAACGTTTGACTTTAAAGACGAATTTTAGAGAAAATAGGAAAGTGGAAGAACTAAATCTGTTATATTTTATTAATTAGACCTTTAAGATTGTTATAAAACAAGATTTTTCGTCGAAGAACGTCATTTATAGAAATAATCGGCATTTTGGTGAAGCACGCGTTTGTCTCTAATTCCGTGATAAAATTCTGTTCACGAACTTAATGCCGGGAGTCGTTGTACACTATTCCGTGATAGCGCTCGAAGCATACATTTTTGATCGTAATGCCTTGATAAATATAGTTGTAGGTTATGAAAAGTAAGGTTAATTGAAAAATAATATTTTGATATAATTTTAAACACATATTTAATATATTTTCATGGAAATTTGAACAGTATAAGTGATTATAAAACTTCCAAAACAAAAATGAAATAAAAGCTGGTATTAAAATTACAGTAATTATTGTAACACTGGAAATGATATGAATAAATCAAACTGGAATGAAAAAATAAATCAAATAAAAAATATGAAACAAAGAGGATATAATTTATGTATTCAATTATCAATCCTAAATCTGCATAAATATATTTATTACTTAACATTCAAAATATATTTAAAGTATGAGATCATATAACAATTAGCTAGAGGGTTAATACATAATTTTCTTATTAAACTATATTTCTTATTTAATGAAAATATAAACTTTATGTAAATATATACTTTAAACTCTAAATAAAAAATTTAAACACCAAATAAAAATAACAATTTCATCAACAAATGTAAATAATCTTTAAAGTCCTTAAATTTACTAGATTAAATCAGGTACAGAAAATACACCTCTTTTATTTACTGGAATTGGTGGTTTTATTTTTTGCACTATATCTTTGGCATCATAATCTAACACATCGTCTTTATCAGGCCAACGCCAGTTAACTCTTCCATTTGCAAAACCGCTCATAGTCATAGTTTTGACTAGGTACTTTGGTTGATCAGTCTTATCATTAGAGGTTCCAAGTATTTTTCCAGGAAACTTAAAATATGAGTTGAATTGGGCAATAAGGCAACCAAAATAACGCCAATTTCTCTACATAATTTACACAGGTGATAGGACAAATGCGAAACATGACCATCCAAAAATAAAACAACTGGTTTTTCAATACTTTCGTTTATAAGGAAGGGATTGAAAACATTTCCAATATACTCAAAAAAGTTTTCGCTGGTCATCCACCCTTTTTCACTTCTGCCTATGGACCAGGTTTTCGGGTATTTTGCTAATATGTTCGATGGTATCCTCTTATAAGGAAATAATGACAGAACTGGCATCAACTTCCCATCTGCAGAAGCGCCGATCAATACTGTAAGGCATTCCTTTTCATCATTTCCTGATCTGCAATGTACAGATTTGGAACCTGTTTTAGCTAAAACAGCTTGACCTTTTGGGCACAGGAAAAATGCAGATTCATCGCAATTAAAAATTCTAGATGGGTCTTGTAAAAGCTCACTTAAGTCATTTTCCTGAGAATATTTCTCAACTCGCTTGAACCATGCCCTAATTTTCACCTCATTAACACTGACATGAGCCGTAGTCAAGGGTTGACATATTCTTTTACTAATCAAAGGGTTTCTTCTAAGAAAACCCTCATACCAATGCCGACCTGGATAGCCTTCCTTAAATTTGTTAGACCGACCGAGTTCAGCAACCAGTTTATGTCTAGAATTTAATAAAATGTCTTTCGTTACAGGAAAACCCATTTGAGCCATCGTTATAACCCATTCAACAATAAGGTTTTCTTCTTCGGGGGTCAGCACTGCTGGAGCTCCTGCACGACCTTGCTTTTTGTATTTTCCGTGTATTTTATCATATAAGGTTTGATTGGGAATTTTATATGTTCTGGAAGCTTTGTAAACAGATAAAGTACCATCGCGAATTTCTTTTAAAGCCTTTTCTAGGGTTTCAGGTAAATATTTATTTGAAGCCATCGGTACTTTGAAAAACTAAAAAAAATATTTAAAAGTTATACACTTATACATAAAATTTATATTATTGATATTGATATTGATTATAATTTTAACAACTATCAAGTACGTTGCAAAAATGAAGCAAATCAAAACTACCGTATTTACGAATATGTCCCTAATTCGCTGCATACATACGCACATACCCGCACACTAATGATTCGTGCACTACGGGTTTTGCTCTATTTCTATAAGCTTTGACATTACACAAATGATTTATCGTAGATGAAATAAAAGAAACATCTGATTCTCTCATTACTACCATATTTTATGTATATGGGAATAATGGAAATAAGTAAAAAAATCATATATTTTCTTGCTAAAGAGTAGTAATTTCAAACTCAATTATTAGGGTTAAAAATTAAAAAGAACATATACCGTAATTAGGTCACAATATTCTGTGGTCATCACCAAACTTAGTAACACCAAAAACACCACTAAATTTAAGCATAATTAAGAATAAAAGACTAAAATAATTCAGGTCTACTCTTCCTAATTGCGTGACACTCACGGAATAACGTTCAATGCTTCAATTGTGTGAACTTAATTACGGGAGTCACAAAATTGACACTTTCTTAAAACATATTTGCCCGATTTAACTATAAAACTTATCACTTATTAATTCTTAACAATAATATCACAAATTTATATTGAATAAGCTTACCAGTGTCACATAAAAATCTTAAGCAATTGTAGCGTCACATTAACCTAACTAACAACAGGACTGTACGTAAATGGCGATCGGGTTATGACAGATGCGTTCAGAAGCTCTATATGGTTTTAAAAACTAATATTTAAAATGGAAAATCGTGCTTATTTGATGAGATTCGAATTATAGTTTATGTGGTATTGTTTAAAATTATTATTCACCGACTGTTTTCTTATTTTGCGATCAAAATGAAAAACTCCCGTAATAATGTACTATCCCGGAATAGTGTACGTTTACCTTAGCATGAATTATGGCTATTGGATAGATCTTCCTTTAATAATCTAATCAATTTAGGAGGTATAAGTATAGGATTGTTATTAAATATTATATATATATCTTCTATATATATAAAAATAAGTCGGGTTTTCCTTCCTGACGAATTAACTCCAGAACGCACGAACCGATTGCGACAATTTTGTATTTGTTGGAAAGGTCTCGGGCTCCGCAAGGTTTATAGCTAAGAAAATTAGTGGTGCATGGCATCGTGCCCTAATGCAAATTGCTGGAACTTCACGCACCGTAATTATAAATCCGAGTAATAAAAATAATCAATAACTGTTTTAAATAATTTCAAATAGATTATCTTCTATATATATAAAAATAAGTCGGGTTTTTCTTCCTGACGAAATAACTCCAGAACGCACGAACCGATTTCGACAATTTTGCATTCGTTGGAAAGGTCTCGGGCTCCGCAAGGTTAATAGCTAAGAAAATTAGTTGTGCATGGCATCGTTTCCTAATGCAAGCTGCTGGAACTTCACGCACCGTAATTAAAAATTCGAGTGATGACATTAGTGACAATTATTAGAATTATGCTTGGTTAAGTCAACGAGCAGTTCTTGCCGCAAAGAATAATGATGTATACGCACTGAATTTCACCATTCAATCAAAAATTGCTGGCGATTTGGTGACATACCAATGATTCTGACTGGTCTTCCGTTTGACTTCAAACGATTGCAATTTCCAGTTCGCCTTGGATTCGCCATAACAAGTCGCAAGGCCAATCGCTTAGTGTTTGCGGGATGAATTTCAAATAGATTATTTAGAAAATCATTGTTCTTCACATGGACAGCTATACGTTGCCTGTTCACGAGTTGGAAAACCATCCGCTTTGTTTGTGTTAACGTCAGACCAAAAAACAACTAGCTGTAAGTGGAATTCTGTCTTGAGGCTATTATGGCACCGTGCCTTAAGGCAAATTGCTGGAACTTCCCGTTGAATACTGAATGTTTTCTAATAGATTATTATAAATATTGTATCATTGTCTAATATAAAATAATAAAATAAAATCTGAAATATTTTCGATATACAACAAACTAAAAAAAAAAAAAAAAAAAAAAAAAAAAAAATGGAACAAATTTTTTTTTCCAAAATCAATTATTTTGTTAAGACAAGCAGAAAGTTCTTTGAATCATTTAAATCGGACGCTTAGTTCTCTCAAAAACTGCTATTTTTTACATATTTAGCTCCGTATCTTCAAAATGGCTGGGCCTGCCTTTGCCAAAAACTAATAAACACTTCTCCCAATCATTACTAATTGAATGTTTTTTAGATCATTCAAATCGGATACTCCGTTCTCTCAAAAATTCAATTTCTATTTTCTGCACTCTTTGCTCTGTATCTTCGAAACGGCTGGACCTGCCTTTGCCAAAAACTAATCAGCTCTTTTCCCTATCAATAGAAATCGAATGTTTTTTGAACCATTCAAATACGTTGATCCGTGCGCCCTAAAACGTGACTGGAAATTTGTATCCACACATACATACACACACACACACACATACACACACACACACATACACACACACACACACACACACACACATCCATTTTTTCTGAGGTATGCCAAAACGTTCAGAAACCTTCAAAACGTCGAGAAATGTAAAAATTTTCAATTCCGATTTTCGGCCCATTACAATAACTTACCCTACGGGAAGTTAAAAAATGGGGTTTACCAGAGAGCACTTCATTGAAACGGATATTCTGCGGATTCACTTTCATTTACTTAGAGAAGTTCAACTAAAAAACACATCAATTTTGTAATCGAAATAAATTCATTACTGTTGTATAATAAAATCAAATTTTTTCTTTTCAAATATAGAACAAACAAAAAAGTTCTTCATATTTCTCACGAAACCATCTGGTGGCGAAACGGAGTTCGTCGGGTTTGCTAGTATATATATATATATATATATATATATATATATATATATATACGATATATATTTGAAGAGACAAGAAGAAGATATTTACGATGTCCACAAAGACACTTTCTAAAAGCATAAATATAATTCTTAACCATGCGCAGATATCAATAAGAGTTTAAAATAACCTTCGAATTTAACCCACGCCATTAAACCATACATACATATGTAGAAAGAAACATAGAAATTTATACATACATAAATATATATATGTATATATTAATCCCATAGTACTTTGCAAGACATTTAACAGGGTCTTTGATAGCAAAAGTTAAACACCCAAGTATTGCAAATAATTTATGTAATATTTGCACACTAATTGAATTTACCAATTTCGTTTTTAATTATATGGGAGTGTTTGTGGTGAAAGTGTTAAATCTTTGCAAACAGAACATAGCAGGTTTAAATCTGAGGTTCGGACAAACGGATATTAAGCAGTAGTGATATCAGTTGTAAACTTCCTAATTTTTAGTTTAGTTTAGTTCAGTTCATAGAAACCCTCAAAGGTCCATTAATCACGTGAACATAATACATTTACATCTGGTACATTTTTATCTTGTCCAGTTTTTTCGGGCTCCACATTTTAAAACTCTCTAGGAAGTTTGCATCATTGGAGTCCATGTCTCTGATCCGTAGAGAGGTGTATTATGTAGAATCCTAAGAACATTTGAATACGGTATAGGATTTTTTCCTCGGATTTTGGATCCGATCCAGTTTCTGCTTCCACAAGTAGAGTCCTTTCCACTTTCACTTTCAGGAAGTTTTTATCCTCAGAGTCCATGTTTCTGATCCGTAGAGAGGTGTAGTTATACGAAAATTTGATTAAAAATTCCTAAGAACCTTTAAATACGGTATAGGATTTTTTCCTCGTCTGGATCCTGAATAGTTTCTTCTTCCACAAGTAGAGTCCTTTCCACTTTCATCATCTGCAGTATCTTTCCTACTTTGTAAGTCCAATGCATCACGAAATCCTTCTGGTAGTTTTAGTCGTTAGAGTCTATATCTCTGATCCGTAAAGAGCAGTAGAGTTTATCAATTTATATGTATGTATGTATGTACATAAATCACGCATATTTTCCAAGTAAAAATTCGTAAGAAGCGACCATTAATATATCTCTCGTCCGTCGTCCGTCGTCCGTTCGTTTCGGAGCAATAACTTTGGTATTTTTGACAATGATTACTTGTTCCCATATATTTTTATGCGCCCACTATATATATTCATATACTAAAGAGATTGAAATAATAAAAATATGTCGTAAATATTACAATATGACAATTATTTATGACCAATTTTATATGTTTGGTCGCACGATCTCTGAACTAACAAATACAAATACAAGGAACTACAACCTACAACTACACACACTTAGATACTTACATTACAAATTAAATTTATTTATATACATATTTTATCTATAAATACAATACATTCGAGTGGTTTTGGAAATAAAATTTAAATTATAATCGTTATGTTTTGCAATTTCAGCATTTTTCATTATCAAGTGGCAGTATTAGGTGGCAGTGACACCAAAGGAAGAAATGAATATTGACATCGTGATATTTAGACAAAACTAGCGGTGTATGGCATCATGCCTTAAGGCAAATTGCTGGAACTTCCCGTACCGTAATGAAATATTCGAGAAATTTTAAACGTTTTCAAATATATTATTACAAATAGTGTAACTTTCATTATTTTTGCTATCTTGTTTGTTATATCTGAGCTAATCAAATGTAAATCATAAATCATAAATCAATTTTCTCCAAAACATTAACAATCGTCATTCCATTTCGAATTCAATTTCAAAAAAATAGTTGCAAAAAGTCACAGTCTAAACGTAGTACTCTTTGTAAATTATAATAGTTTAAATAAGTTTTGATAAGTAATCATAAAAAAATCCCTCAGTTTTGGGGCCCTTTGAAGCACCCTTTAACATTAAGGCAATGGAAAAATATTTTTCCCAGAATAGATTTATCATTTTATGCATTTACTTAAATTCTTATCATCAGAATATTTTTTAACCAATGTCTTAATTAGGCGAAATTATTTTATGATATTATTAACTTCCCGTAGGGTAAGTTATTGTAATGGGCCGAAAATCGGAATTGAACATTTTTACATTTCTCGACGTTTTGAAGGTTTCTGAACATTTTGGCATACCTCAGAAAAAATGAATGTGTGTGTGTGTGTGTGTGTATGTGTGTGTATGTATGTGTGGATACAAATTTCCAGTCACGTTTTAGGGCGCACGGATCAACCGATTTGAATGGTTCAAAAAGCATTCGATTTCTATTGATAGGGAAAAGAGCTGATTAGTTTTTGGCAAAGGCAGGTCCAGCCGTTTCGGAGATACGGAGCAAAGAGTGCGGAAAATAGAAATCTAATTTTTGAGAGAACGGAGTATCCGATTTGAATGATCTAAAAAACATTCAATTAGTAATGATTGGGAGAAGGGGTTATTAGTTTTTCGCAAAGGCAGGCCCAGCCATTTCGAAGATACGGAGCTAAATATGTAAAAAATGGCAGTTTTTGAGAGAACTAAGCGTCCGATTTGAATGATTCAAAAAACTTTCTGCTTGTCTTAACAAAATAATTGATTTTGGAAAAAAAAAATTTTGTTCCATTTTTTTTTTTTTTTTTTAGTTTTTTGTTGAAACAAATAATTTCAACTTTGCAATTCAGTTTCTATAATTCTTATAAATATTAGACAATGTTACAATATTTATAATAATCTATTTGAAAACATTCAGTATTCCTCGAACATTTCGTTACGGTACGGGAAGTTCCAGCAATTTGCCTTAAGGCACGATGCCACCCACCCCACTAGTTTGTTCTTAAAATAGCACATTAAATTCCTGACACTTGGCTTTTAAAATTAGTATCATAAAAAGCCCTTCACCTTTGGGGCTATTTCAAGCACCCTTTACCATTAAGACACACTGGAAAAATATTTTTTCCTGAATAAATTTATTCTTCAATGTTATTACTTAATTTATTGTACTCTAACTTGTGCCTTAAGTAAAATTATTTTATTCTATTTTTGTTGATATTTACAATTTTTCTGGCCTGGTGTGTAAATTCTCTGCAAATTCCTTAAATGGTACTTTTAATACTCGGTATTTATCAAAGTCTTCATTTTTAAAACCAGTATCAAAAAAAAATCTTCAACATGAAAAAGTTGTTTTAATTAATAGTTTTATTCCTTGAAATGAAGTACATTTCTTGTATTTGAGCTATTTTTTTTAACAATATCTCGTAGGAATAAAAAAAAATTATTTGTAGTTTTTGTTATTATTTATAATATTTTCTATCCTGATATGTATATTTCTGGTAATTATTCAAGTTTTTAATTTTAAAACAAGTATAAAAAAAACCTTCAGTTTTGGGACTTTTTGAAACACCTTTAAATTAATTTTCTAATAAATATATATAATATTTCTTAATGTATTTTTTTAATTTTTTGACCTTTAACTATCAATTCTTATCAAGTAAAATTATTTCATAAACTTTTTTGTTAATAATTAAAATTTGCTGGACCGATAAGTACATTTTTTGGAAATTCTTCAAATGATACTTTAGCACGTTAATTGCCACAATAATATCGAAAAATATTAATATAGTACTTTAATAGAATTTTAGAACATTAGAACTTTATTAGATAATTTAATTAGATAAATGTATCAAGAAAACATAATATACCAAAGATTTTTTTTTAGTTTTGGGGCTCTTTATAGATTTTTAGCATTTAGATCTAATGGAAAAAAAATCCAATTTTTAATTTCTTGTCTTCAAATTCTCAAGTCTTTTTATTAATAGGTAAAATTATTTCATTATATTTTTGGTTAATATTCATATTTTTTCTAGACTGATGTATACATTCTCTACATTCCTCAAATTCCTCAAAAGGTACATTTAATACCTGCCATCAATTCAAGTCTTCAACGTTCAAAATAAATAAATTCTTGCACATATCTAATTTCTCTCATTGCATTGATTATTTCAAAAGTCTACAAAGTATTTAGTTTCAAAATGCAAATGAACTGCATATAATTAGCATTTTAAAATGTAATGACATTTTTTGTTTATCTTATAGCTATAAAACTCAAATTTATGGTACATATCAATTGCAGTATATCCTGATAATTTGATACCCAGAATTATATATTTCTACACGCCCTACATATAAATTGTGCAAATTGACAATACCTTTGCATATGGTAATTTTGCATGGTCGAAAGTGCATTCCTATCACTTTTAACAATAACTTGTAACATAAAAATATTAACCCTATACAAAAACAAACTTGTCCTCCATTACCCAGCAATAAACAAATAATTTACAACTATTTTTTATTATAATTTGTTACTAAATCCTACCTTAAATTCCTTTTCCTCTTACGGGCACTGTAAATCCATTTTCGTGTGTGGCACTTGAAAATTCTTCAAGTTGTTTTTGCACAATTTTGGAAATTTTATAAACATGTTATTAATTATTGTTTAGTTTGATTTGATTGAAATTTAAGAGTTTTTGTTTAAGACAAAACTGACACGATGCAACATGGCGAAGAACTAATGGACACTAAGAAAAGAAGTGAGAAGAGAGAAGTAAGAAGAAGAGGTAAGAAGTGAAGTTTTGACAAGAACAAGAATCTTGGACAGATAGAGGGCGGTACCAACTGAAGAGTGTTAAGACGTTATTTTTTTGAACTTAGTAAAAGTTTCGTAATAATTTAATTTACTAGTTTTATGTTAGTCATTTTGAATCTTTTGACACCAAAAAAAAATTGATAAAATCTAACTAAAGATATCATTCATAAGTATATTAGGTAAAGCGGGGCTTTAAAGTCCGCCATTATCTTAAAAACCAGCAAAGCTAAACAATTTTTTAACAATGATATTTGAAAGTAGAGGGAAAAAGATGTATAACTAGTCATCAACTTGATTCTTACCACGTCGTTACCAGGAGATAAATGACAATTTTTGAAAATCCATACCAAAGTTTAGTTTTTACAGTCATGACTACTGTTGTTTAGTTCTCGAGGGTTAAATACAATTGTTTAATAAGATCTATTGTTATATTCTAGTTAGATTCGACAGTTTTTTATATATAAGCTCTATAAAAGCTTAAAAAGAACCAATTGAACTTTTACCCTGGCAAAGGTGTAAAAAATAAAAAATAGCAAATAACAAAGTAAGTTAAGTTAAAATTCGCTGTATATTTAAGTTTTATATTTCTATTCCACTGAATGAACGCTAGAAATTCAGCCGAAACGTGTAGGTTTTTAAATAAATTTCAAGTTATTTAAGGAAGTTCCTCCTGATTGTTAGACTCTATTAATACATATGTCAACATCAAATTCATATTTATACAAATATGAAATGTAATATGCACATATAATTAAATAAAACCATTGCTAACTATTTGATTTCATTTTAAAATATACTAATATTATAAACTTGTGCAAAAATATTTTAAATTTGAATCAGAATTAGTTTTTTCTTCTTATGTTGGTATCCTGTCATTTACGAGCTGTCAAGTGTCACCACAAAGACGCTGTAATTTAAGATCAGTGTTTGTTTGTAAAAATAAATATATTTTTGCAAATATAAAATTTTATTTACTTTCTTATGTATCAATTATTATGTGCACCTGATATATTTATATTCTGAAAGTTTTTAATTGTTTAAAATCATGTCGGACCAGTACGCTTTGTGTTGGAACAATTACAAAAAGAATTTATCGAGTGGTTTTTATTCTCTATATTCCAAAGGAGATTTTACAGATGTAACATTATCGGCTGATGGACAATTAATTCAGGCACATCGAATTGTTTTAGCTGTTTGTTCGCCGTATTTTAAGAACTTGTTTGAAAAAACTCCGGCTACTAATCATCCTATAGGTAGACACATAACCTAAATAAAGGACAAAGGAAAATACTGATCAGTAAACTTTTCTAACAATCTTGTATCTTTTCCAGTTTTTCTTAAAGACATATCCTACAAAAACCTCACAGATTTAATACAATTCATGTACAGCGGTGAGGTCCATGTTAAACAAGATGACCTCCCAAGTTTTATTGCAATTGCAGAAAGTTTGCAAATCAAAGGACTTACAGAATTCGGTGTAAATGATGTAAGCATCTAAAAGTACTTCTTGTACTTATTCAACAAGTACTAATATTTATTATTATTTAGAACGAAACCAGTAGTACTACAAAGAATGGTGAAAACACATCCATGAGTAGATCAGCCAGGGCGAATAAGAGGGCTTTAAGGAAAGAACTTCCAGAGGATGATATTCCTCTCAAGTATAGAAAGAGAACTAGTCATACGAGAAGTAAATATTCACAAAACATGTATACATTATCCAATCGATTATTAATCAATTATATTTTAGGTACAAGAAATTCATCAAAAAATGATGAAGACCCATTAGAAGATGGTGCTTCAACAAGTCAGATGAATTATGTAGCAGGTATTAATCATTATAAATAATTAGTTTTGATATTATTTGAGCAATAATTTTATTTCATTATGTTTTTATTAGCAAAGTGTGAGCCCGTTTTGGAAGACAGCAACATGGATGATGATCACTTCGATACCGGTTTTGATAAAGATGATGATGACAATGAAATCTTTGAAAATTCAAATTATCTGAACACTTCTAACAATACAAGTCAGTATTTTTATATATTATTTATTTTACCATAGATGTTGTGTATTATTTTAGTTTATAATAATTTATTTTTAATAAAAATCATGGTAATCATAATAAAAAAAATATGATTATTAATCCTTATTGTGTGAGTGAGATATTTTTTTAATTGTGCAAAGAATCAGTGAGTTAAATCAGTGTTTCGTTCAGTTATTATTGGAATAGCATAAGTTAAGTAATTTTTTATACATTACACATAATTTACATTTACAAATCATTTTAATAACTTCAATTTTTAGGCAACCAACAAGACAAAGCATCAACGGCACCTCAAACAGTCCCTATAACACCACAAGACGACCAAGAATTTCAAAATCCAGACAGTGAAGCACCCGTCCCTGTAGAATTCTTTCCCACAAAAATGGGAGGCTATGTTATGGTACACGACTCACAAATTTATTCCCTAGAAAGGCGAGGTGGAGACCACTGGTACTGGTGTTGTAATTTAAAAGGTAAAAAGAACTAAAATCCTCTTAATGTTATAATCACTATTAATTGTATCTATTTTTTAGGACCAAGAAGATGTCCGGCTCGATGTCAAACCACTTCTCAATTCGATAGTGTTGTTATAAGGAATTCAGATCACAATCATCCAGATAGAACTGCAGAAATTGAAAGAAGACGGTTGAGAGTGACAGCAACAGCAGGGCCTGATGATTGTGCAGAATGGATGAGACGTTTAGAGGCACAACAGAATTTGAAAGAGGAACGCAAACAAGAGAATAATAAAGATGAAAATTAGAACTTGTGGAAGACATTTGTACGGTTTTGATTTTATTATAAGACTGCTTGATATTGTTTGGAATTTGCAATTTAGTTTGCAGCAGAAATTTAATTTCAGTCACCAGAATTGTATATACAGATATTATTCATCAACTTAGTTTAGAAAGCTTTATTAGATTATAATTAAGTTATGAGAAATATGTAAGAAAAATATTTTGCATGCATTTTAAAAACATGCATTTATTTGAATGATGTAAAATGTGCTGAGGTGATTCAATTATCTATTATAAAGCCCTTGATTCAAAACTTCATTATTTAAGTAATATTTATGAAACATAATTTTTAAGTCATAGTAATAAGATATGTTGCTAAAATATGAGATGTTTTAAAATATCTTAAAATAAATTAAGTTTGTCAATAATTTAAAATTTAATTTAAAAGTGTAGAAGACTAGTTTATAAGTTTGCCAAACTAGTATAAGAGTCAAATATGACATGTACAAAATTTTAACAATATTTTAATAAAACACGCTTTAATAAATATAAAAATGTATATATTTCTAACTTTCCGAAGTCAAAAATTGGTCAAACCTGTGATATATATATATGTATATAAAGTATTCATTATTTATTTTTATTTCAGGTACCAAAGAAAAACAATCAGACACCCCAAACACCGATTCTGTTACACCAAAGAACATAACTGGAATTAACCAAACCGAATTTTTAAATCAATTTATCATATTGAAAACCCCATTGCAATTATTAATTAATCCAGTACAAATCCCAGAAATAGAAACTATAGCCAAAAATCAAGCAGCAATAAATTCTGAGAAAGAAAATGAAGCTTCAAATAATTCAAAAGACAAACCAAAGTCAGATAAAGAAACAGAAGAAGAAATGATCATTTCTAATGAAGAAATTGAAGATGTTTTAGTCTATACTTTGAGCACCCATGGGTACCCTCAATTGATTCATCAGGGACATTGTTTCCAAAGGTACAAAAATGCAAACGGCAGAGCTTATTGGAAATGCAAGCAATCGAGACAACTGGGCTGTAAGGCTAGACTGGTAAGATAAAAGATAGTATAGTATTTTTATATTTAACTTATCAATCTATATTTCTAGATTACAGAACCTTTGGCTCAAACTTCTGGCAGTAAACCATCCACAAAAATTACTGTAACATCGAAGTATCACAATCATGGAAAGATAAAAGATTTTTGGGGCTCAAGGTAATATAATACACAAAATATATTGTATCATTATTACATTTTTCATCTATCTATTTTTTCATTGCAGATCAAAACCGAGATCCAAGTTTAGCAAAGAGATGGAGAGAGAAATAAGAGAAGAGCAAGAATTACAAGACGAGTTATCAGAAAAGCAAAACAAATCTGAAACAAATACTAATAGTAAAGAAAACACAACAGCTCCAACTAATAAGTCTGTTGAAACTCCAAACCCAAATGATATTTCCAAAAATAATGATGACAGTGTAAATAAAGAAGCAACAAATCCCAATTTAAGTGATTCAGGATTAAATAATTTGCAAAACCAATTCGAAGAGGTTTCCCAAAGAAGTAATGATTATGAAGATATCGATATGTCTATAGTAGATTTAGAATACTATGATTAATAAAAAATCAATTATTATAAGTAAACTATTGTATATAATATAATATTTATGATATTCATGATAACGGTTTGCCTTTAATGCTCGAAAGAGAAGATTTAGATCGCTAGGAATAATAAAAATTGAGTATTATGTATTGATAAGATATTTATGATGATGGTTTTTGATCATAATTATTTTAATGTTATTGTCGGGTAATATATTTTATTACATATTAATTTTATTGTAAATAATCTTTTATTGTAATAAAAGATCATGTAGATGAATAAATTCATGTGTTTCTATTTGTGAAAAATCTTATCTGTAATGATATTTAAAATATAATTTTAAATAATGGAAAAATTTAAAGAAACTAGGTGAAGTGGCATTCTGCCTTTTTAATTTAAATAAAGAATAAATAATATCTGCAATTCAGTTATTAAAAGTATACATGATTTATTTGAGATTCAGACAGATTAAGAATAACTAGAAAGAAAACAAAGTTAGCAAAACCGATTTTTTGACTTTTGAACATATTATAACTTCTATTTTATGTGTTACTTTGAAATAAATTTTGAATTTATGAGAATTTAAATAAGTTGACAGTTGTAACTCCACGATTTTAAAAAATCATAAGATAATCAAAATTATGCCGGATTCAGTATATAAAATACAGAAACTTATTGTATTACTATTTTATGTTTGTGTTAATAAAGATTCTTTTTTCCATTTTGTTCATATTTTTTAACTTAAACAATTAATTTAAAATGTCTGCCATAGATACTGTCATAAATAAGAATGTTGTTTTCACGAAACGCTTAATAAAATTAAAATAAAGCTATATTTGTAATTACCAAATACCTTAAAAACCACTGTTAATTATATTAATATTGTTATAACAATAATAACCATTATTAATAATATCATTATTATTACTTTTCGTTAAACCATCCCGCCTATATTTTCGATCTCTCTGACATCGGAAACAAAACTGTCAAAACTGACACATCAGTTACTAGCGAAGTATTTTGCTAAATAACTAAATTAAATTATAAGTATTTTGTGGAAAACACTAACCAGTGAATAAAAAAGATGCATTCTAACACACAAATAACATTTTCTAAAGAGTAAGTACCTACAAACAATATAAATTTGTAAAAATAATAAGTTTGTACACATTTTTGACATTCCGCCATTTTTTCACGAACCAGGATTACCGTTGATATCCACAAATGCAAGATCGCAGTAATAAAATTAATAAAATACAAGTAGTGTTAAAGAAAAGTTGTAGCTCGTTAAAGTGGTTTATTATTTGTGAAAAATGTATAGATATGGATTTCGGAAGATGGACAGGTAGTTTTATAATACAACAAATAAAGTAACATTTTATGGACAAACTGAGGGCCGCCATATTTCTGTTAACTTCACGTTCAAAACATACAAATGTCATTTGGACGTTTTTAAAACGCAAATTTAATATTGTGTTGCACATTTATTAAAAATTAGTTGTAAGTAGCATTTTGCCTTAAGGTAAGTTGCACGAACTTTCCGATATGTATAAATAATCGATAAGAAATCAGATAGAAATGCTATCTGTTAAATTTGAGGTTAGATTCTTAATAAAATTTCACTAAAAACTAATCAATGCAATTTCCAGTTAAAATCTTTCAAACAAACTTAAATTATTTGTAATCACATTAATATTTAACACATTTCGTTTTACTTCGTGTTCAAAAATTTATTTTATTTAAGTGTGCAGGTCAACGGTAATCAGTACGAAACACAGCTCAGAATATGGGGGGTGTTTGCTATCATTTCAAACTTTAACCAATTGTTATAATAAAATCACATTTCGTAGGCCTAGAATATTTTAATTATGTTAATTTAGACCACAGGTTCCCAAACTGTTTTGTGTCTTGATTTTTTTTAGATCCCTTGAAAGTGTCATGGATCCATAAATATCACTTTGAAAATCAATGTTTTAAGCCATGAACTTTTTTAATATGCAAAGTTGCATTAAAATCGGTGAAAAATATTTAAGCAACAGTTAATTATAAAGAAACAATGACCGATTGTCATGAAAAACAAATCAACGGCAGTCTTTATCAAAAATGGCTTTAAAATTTTTAAAATCGGTACAGCCGTTTTTGAAGAAACAAATTTAGAAATAGAAACAAATTTCTACTTTCAGTTTTCACAATTAAAAAAATTCTTACTCTTAGGGACTTAGGCGAGGGACTACCAGAAGTCGGAAAAGTCCGTTTCAAAAATAGGTTCTCAATATCAGATGACGAAAGTAGTGAAGAGAGCACCTCAGACGACTCAGGAAGCGATTCATCTTCATCAGATTCTTCAACCGAAGACGAGAGACAATCAAGAGAAGGTCGCAAAGTCCTCGTCATGCCCGAACCAGTTAACGACAAGTAATAAATAATACAAATTACTTCAATAAACTTACATTCCTTATGCAGAGCAGATTTTTCATTTGTTTCATTATTTACGATTATTTGCACTACAATTATTTATGGGCGACGGGATAAAATATTCTTCCAATCCATACATTTTTTATTAACTCAAGATTTGTACTACTATTTAACCTTAAAATGTAATGACATGAAACATCGGAAAATGAACAATATGCTTCGCGCTTTCGGTGACGTACGCACATATAAAGTCACGCATACCAAGAATCCTCGCACAAATACGACCAATCAGAATCCACCCGTATAGACATCATATCATCGAGAGCAAATGACTCTCACTTGACCTTGCCGTAACTATTTCCGTTGCATTTGTACGGATTTACACCCATGTCGCGCCTAAAGATGTTTTGACTTCATTAAATATTTCTAAATAATTGCCTTCAAATTTAAATTGTCCATTTATATTTTCAGGGCTTATAGAGATACCAGGGAATGGGTGGAAAAGGCCACAAGACACAGTCAAAAATTTGTAACGGATCTTCGAAAACATGAAGCAGGTAATGAGTTAGATTCGTGGTCTGCTTCAAGTAGCAGAAGGTCGATAGATGATCCTGGACGAGTACCAGAGATTTGCGAAATGCCATTAACTGACGATGGCAGTGAGTAGTTATTGTGAAAAGAATCATTATTGCAGGGCAAATAATAAAAATAAACTATCTTTAATCCAATTTTGTATCCAAAATCTTCTAGACTTTACATCTTATTTATTTAAATTATTTGTTTATTTTTAAAGAAGCGAAACACACCGACCAGGTCTGGGACAGGGCTGTAATCCATTATATGGCAAAAGAAGTTGGACTTCGGAATGGACACATGAAAGTTCCAAATCTTGATTTTCCTGATACAGAACATGGACGAGAACTCAAAAAATTGCACAGGTAAAAGAACTACATCTGCCTAGAAAAACGCATCTATTAAAAACTAGATGACCCGACAGACGTTGTCCTGTACACATGTTTACAATTTTTTAATATAATATACTAATATTTACCGTTTACCTAAAAATAATAATTATTGTTTTTTAAATTACTCTTCACGCCAAAATGCATATACATTTATAATATGAGCGATGTTAAATGTAGAACTGCTTTAAATAAAATGATGAGTCTCAATTTTCAAGTCTTTTAAATGGTAATAATAACCATAACCATAACATAACACTGGTACTTCATGGGGGATTAAATTAAATTATTTTTTTATTATTTAAGATGTCTAAAATTGCATCTTATCTTCTCCTACTCGATATCGTGAGGGCCGAATTGTATGTATTCATCTTTACTTTCCCATTTGTAATTATAAAGTGAAATTTTTACAAATTTTAAAAATATTGTGAAAAGATTAGTAAAATATGCAAAGATATTATATATTGAAAATTTAATATCCGAATCTTGTGTTGGGGCTCCCTAAGGAGTGCGCTCATATTTTTCGCAAGAATTGCATTAAAGGTAGGACCGGCTCTGATTAATACTTAATTTCATATTTTAAGTGAATTAATTTGTCATATCCTGTCCATATGTGTATCATTCAATCTGCCATACATATACTGTATCTTATATTATTTTAATTTCTGGCACATCTCAGCTGTTTTTTTGTCAATAATAACGTACACATTTCATTTTCATTATTCATAATTATACATTTATTGCACACATTCTAACATTGTCTGGGTTCATAAATAATTGAAATTTTTGGCAGATGATATTTTTCATTTGTTTTTAATGCAAACAATGACATGTCGTTTTTTGCAATTTTTTCAAATTAATTTCTACAAAATTGCTCATACATCCCAGTACTTTATAATCACATACATCCTAGAAAATTTCCTTAACAAACTTCAGAAAGATTTATCAAAATCCGAATAATCGTTTAGGAGGAGTATACAGTGAGTGCTTGTAATTTAATATGAACTTTATATAATAGCAATAAAGCTCAAATTGGTTCTACGTTTTAGTTAGAAAACGTTTGATTGTGAAAAAGAAAGGGGCTGTTTTTAGGCTTTTCCCGGCGATTATTCGATTTTTCTCGCCGTAAGAACTATCAAACTAACAAACATTTAAAAAAAAGAATTGGCCAAATTGGTCCAGGCGTAGTTATGTACTTACCAACACATATTACGACTCATTTCCAAATTTACAAACAACTTTTCCAAAATATAAATTTGTAAGTTTCAACAAAGGATGTAGACTTTCTTTTGATCTACATGGTCAAAATAATATAGTTAAATAACATTAATAAAATAAGAACTTTCGTACCGAAGTTGTACTTTAAAATTTGAAGCAGAAAATCGATAGCAATAATTTGGTTTCATCAGCAATTTACAAATTTTTTCTTTCCCATTTTAGTTACATGGTGAAAGGTTTCGACGCAGGCAGAGCTGAAGGACTAAAATTAGTACAGAAGTCTTTGCAAGTTGCAGCAGGCAAGTTTTTTGAACATATAATTGTACAAATATTATAATTGTAAATTTACAATAATATAATCATCTTATGTTTAGACATGGGCGTTTTGTCTAAAGAAAATGGAATTTTCCAAATCAAGACA